AACCCAAACCCAAACCCAAACCCAAACCCAAACCCAAACCCAAACCCAAACCCAAACCCAAACCCAAACCCAAACCCAAATCCAAACCCAACCAATCAACCAAATAAGCAAGCAAGCAAGCAAGCAAACAAAACCTCTATAAATGGTATATTAAAAGAAAATAGAAAAAGAAAGAAAACAAAAACTAAGAGAACGTTAAAAGACATTTATATAGATCAAAGGATCTTTTAAGTTACCATATTAAGATCTGTCTCTGAGCCTCAGATTTGTGAAAACCATTAGAAAACCTCAATAGGTAAAGAAAACCTTATCAGGTATTTAATTTAGAGCAAACCTAATCATTGAATATTATTTGATGTTGAATATATAATGCTGTACAGTATAAACTAGATCAATAAATGCATTACCTTAAAGATTCAACGTGACTTCTCATTCCTTAAATAGAAGAATATGTGGCTTATAAGTTTTTAATAACATTTGGTAAATTTGTAGAGATGTTTTTCATTTACATATTTTTAAATATTTATTGGTTTTCAAGCAAGTGATTGTAAATCTATCTACATGTGCTTTTAAAAGTAGAATTTATTAATTTGAATTTTATCTAGTATATGTGTAGATTTTTAGATACAGGGTTCATTCGATTTTTTTCTTATCTCACAATTATAGACAGCACTGAATCTTTTCTACCTAACTATAATTGGGCATGGATTATCTATTGCATCTCTGATCATCTCTCTCATCATATTTTTTTACTTCAAGTAAGTACATTTAAATCTTTTTTAATTTGACAACTGTGGTGAATTCAGATTATGTGCATATTGAGCTCATGTGTGGACAAATTATGCAAAATATAAGTAACAATATTAAGTTTAATAGTTAAAGTAAACTGAAGTATTTTTATTTTAGTTTAGTTTTATGAAGTAGGTAGGATATGAATGGGCTATTTTAATCCTAATTTGATAAAATTATTAGGCATATAAAGTTAAAGTATGTGCTTTGATCATGTTGATTTAGGGAGCCTTGTCTTCTTGGTATCCTCCATCATCTCTGGCTCTTAAACTCTTAGCTTCCTCTTGACTAGGGTTTTCTGAGCCCTGAAGGGAGGGATTTCATGGAGACATCCCATTTATGGCTTAGTGTTCCAAGTTCTCATTCTCTGCATAAAGTCTGGCTGTGAGTCTTATATTTGTTCTCATCTGTTGCAAGAAGAAGCTTCTGTGATAATGGTGAAGTAAGGCAATGATCTATGTGTGTTACAGAATGTCATTAGGAGTCATTTTATTGCTACTTTTTTTTTTAAAGAACAGTTTAATAACATTTGATTTTGCCTTAGGTCCCTGGGCAATCTACTCTCAGGTTCTTGGTTAGCTAGGTGATTTCAGGTATGAGCTGTATTTCATGGTGTTGGCCCTAAGTCGAATCAGATATTGGTTGGTTACACCCAGTCTTTGTGCCACTATTATACTAGCATACCATGCAGGCAGGGATACCATTGTAGATCAAGTGGCTGGACTGGTGCTTAATTTTCTCTTTTGGTAACATGCTGAATGCTTTCCTGTGCCAAAGATGCTAGAGCATAGGGGTGAAGGTTCTATGTAGGCATTATATTTACTTGTCTATGTTCAATGAGTTGTGCAGATGTTGTATCCAGCAATGGGGTCTTGCTGTCAGTTTGTGGAGAGCAATTTGTAGTCTTGGCAATAGCCTGGATTGTTTCGGGTTCCCATGAGACCCCTTTGTCCAACAACTCAATTAGATGTAATGAATCCCAGCGCTGGAAACTTCATTTGGAGGCAAGAGATGGCTAGATGGGGCTGCCTCCTCTATTCTTTGGCAAGTTGATTTAGATCACCTTGATATATGTATATGTTTTAGGAAGTTTCTACTGTATCAGGTTTCCTTAATTGTCTCTCCTCATAATACCTTCATCTTCCCTTCCCATCCACACTTGATCCTCCCATTCCAGCACCCCCATTTGTCCATAACTCTCTATTTTATTTCCCTTTGCTAGTGAGATTTATTCCCACTCCTCCATGTCCCTTACTCTGTAGCTAATCTCTGTGGTTCTATAGACTGTTGCTTGGTTATTCTTGACTTAATCAGCTAATATCCACATATGAGTGAGTACATATCACATTTGTCATTCTCAGTCTGAGAGGTCTCACTCACAAGGATGGGAGATCATTTTTCTAGTTCCATCCATTTACCTGCAAATTTCATGATTTCATTTTAATTATTTTTTAATCCATTGTGTAGATGTACCACATTTTCTTTATTCATTCTTCTGTTGAGAGACACCTAGGTTGTTTCCAGTTTCTGACTCTTATCAACTCAGCAGCAATGAATATATCTGAGCACTAAATGTCTCTAGGGTAGGATAGAACATCCTTTGGGCATATGTACAAGAGTGATAAGGCTGGATCTTGTTGTAGATCGAGTCCCATCTTCCTGTGGAACTGCCACCCTTGGCTGATACACACACACACACACACACACACACACACATATATATGTATATATATATGTGTGTGTGTGTGTGTGTGTGTGTGTGTGTGTGCGCGCGCTCGTGTGCTGTGCACCATGGGCAAGTCTGATATGTATAGGGGTCAGAAGAGGCATTAGATCCCTTGGAACTACAGTTACAGACAGTTGTGAGCCTTTATGTGAGACTGGGAATTTAACCTGGATTCCCTACAAGGGTAGCCAGTTCTCTTAGCCACTGATGTGTCTCTCCAGTCCCAGATTTTTCAATATACTTTTTAGTTTTATTAGGCAAACATTTCATATTTTTCAAAGCCTTGCAATTTCTTGGTCAAAAATATGCATTTTTGTGCTTCTTGAACTACATCAATTTAAAACTCTCCTAAAACCAATATTCTCAGAATGAATTCATAAAATCCAGCTCTTCCAAACCTAAGATAGGTTTCTTAGGAACTAACCCATCTTCACTGATGATGTCACCAGAAGCTCAGTTGCATTCATCAGAAATTTAGCAATAATTTGAGAGTCCATTCTCTCATTCATTTCTCCTTATAGTCCTTTTAATATCCATACCGAATCCAGTTTTTAATCATCTTGAACACCATTACTACTAAGTATGTTCTATGTAATTTTAAAAATTCTTATTATTTCTTGTCAGGGACTCACTGTGTAGCCACTGCTGGTCTGAAACTGTGTGTAGACTTGACTAGTTTCAGACTCACTGAGATTGTCTACCTCTGCCTCCCATACGCTGGGGTTGAAGGTGTGCACCACACCCAGCTGCTATTCTAATGTTTTTTTAAAAATCAGTTTCCTTTATTCAACTGCAGACAATCTTTAAAAACCTGCATCAAATGCAGAGCTTATTTGTTATTCTCTGCTTCAAAACATTAGAGTGCTTTTTTCTGCACCTTACCTGAACATGAAAGTATTAACGAATCTTGCCTACTATCTTCTCTGCCTCCCTAGCCTGGTTAAATACTTCATATCTGGGAATTATACTTGATCATTTTCTCAGTGGACTCTTTCTGAATTCCTTACTGAAGCTGTAATTAATTACAGTGGACATAGTGTAAGAATCTAAAATTATTTGAGAGATTATGATCTCTTTAAATTAAAAACCATTTGAGCCGAGACTCTTCAGATTAAATTGTCTCTATTTTCTTAATGTAATAAGCCAAAACATCCAAGGGCATTAAGTTTCTGAAGGCGATAAAGTTAATAGCAACTACATTGCATTCCAAAACCAGTAGTAAGAAAGAAAACAATGGTCTCCTGGAATTCTGGCCATATGCTCTCATGCAATTTTGATTTAGCAAAGAGGTCAGTAAAGTAAGCAACAAGTGAAAAGCAAAGTTAATACTACGTCCTCATGTGAAAAAAAAATCTAAGAGTTAATAAAATAAATGCTCGCTGGGCTTATGAGGCAAGTGGGGCCGCCAAGGCAAACAATACTGAAGCCAAACTGGACCAGGAAAAGTATATATCAGTCTAAATCTGTAATCAGACGGCTCATTCATTCAGTTCTCAATGGAGAAACACTGTCATAATAAATGGGTTATCAAGGAGGTTGGGAAATTAAGGGAAACAATAGCTATGTTGACCAAATTGTAACAGTACAAAGAATGTTGTCATAAAGGATGTACAGAGATTGGAGCATAACATCTTGAGTACAAATAATTACAATTAGGAATAGAGTTTGTACAGTAACAAAGAGAGGAAATAGGTGGTTTAATTTAAAAACCTCGTAACAGCTAAACAAAGTGTAGTGAACACCTAGTTCTCAATAGGCCTAGTTGTCACTTAGACATTAATCATGTACTAGCCCATCAAGAATATTGACATGGTGGATCAGAGAAATGACTCAGCGAGTGAAGTGCTCTCTACATAAGTATGGGGTCTTGAGTTTGGATCTTCAGCATCCATGTAAAGAGGTGGGAGCAGGAAACTGGTGCCTCTAATCCCAGTGCTGGGGAGATAAAGAACTCTATGGTCCTGCTGGACAGACAATCTAGCCAAATTGACAAGCTCCGGGTTCAAAGGAACATACTGCTTTAAAAAGTAAATTAGAGAATGTTTGAGGAAAATGTCTAGAGTCAACCGGTGGCCTCCACATGCACAAACACATGTACATGTTCCCACACAATCACAACATGCTGAACACATTCATACATATAAAAGAATACTATAGCCAGTTGCTCTTATTTTGGGTTCATAGCTGGAGCTCAGGACTGACAATGTTCTTTCAAAGCCTAAGAATCTATGAGAGAAGGAATTTTGTAATGGGAAGTAGTATGAGTTATGTTTAGTATGAGTTAAAATATGTAACAGAAGCTGGTAGTTGTGAAAATACTTTTGTGCAAAAGAAATTTATTAGGTAACTATCATTGATATGAATTTGAAAGAATTTCAGGCTTAGTGTTTTGATATCTTTACTTATATCTGTTGTTTTCTAAAAGCGAACATCATTCAACTGATATTTAAAGGTTAGGACTTAAAACCTCAAAAGTATCTATGGAAATCACTTTTTTCAAAGCTGAACTCATATATTTATTTAAAATATATTAGTTTCAAAGATACAATAGGCAGATACAAACCTCATTCCCAAAGAGGCCAGAAATTTTGTATTGTCCCTAATTGTATTCTCATGCTTTGTAAAGAAGTAGTTCATTATGTTGTCATAAAAGATATATATATCTCCCATTGAGTCTAAATAATTAGGAATAGAGTTTGGATAATAAGAAAAGAGAAGAATCCAGGCATTGGTAGTACATACCTTTAATTCCAGTTCTTGAGAGTCAGAAGTAGGCATATCTCTAAGTTCAAGAAGAAATTTTGTGGCTAATTAAAAAATTTCTAGGAAAAAGGACAATTGAAACATTAAAGATCAATATGTAATAAATACAAGTACTTGACATTTGCTAAAAGTTTTGCTTTTAAAAATAATGATGTATGTGGTGTGGGCTGGGGAAGACACCCAGAAGCCTGTCAGCCATGTAGCCCACCTGCATCAGGAGGCACTGCAATGTGCAAGTATGTGGTGGACAGATGGGAGAGAAAGAGAAGCAGACACGTTTAATCATTGTGCAGAGAGGTGGAACTGGAGACTCGAGGGTGGAGAGGAACTGCAGATGGGAGTAGTCTGCCCTGTCACCTGAGGCCCTGGTGAAGTTATAGCTTGTGCTGACAGGGGTCATGGCGGAGTCTGTGATCATGTAGCAGCAAGGGTCTGTGTTAATTTCTGTAACTCATATTACTACTAAAGACATCTTGGTCT